TTCGTCATGATGTTATTTAAAAATTGGAGGGAAGTTTTCATTGCACAGTCTGTAAAAGGAAAACAGCAGAACCCAGCAGAGTGGTTGACAGGTGACACAAATACAATGCATGCTAATGTGCAAAGAGAAACAACCTTGAGAGTTTAAACTGGCTGCACCAGAAAAAAAAATCTTTATCCAGATATGTGGTCCCTCATGAATTATACTATTATTTTAGTTGATTTTACCTGACATTACCGTATGATTTTTTTCCATGACAAGAAAATTGCAACCGGCCCTTGACAGTCGGTCACAAATTGACTGAACAAAACAAAATCAAACAGTGAAGTAATCCCCAAATAAATTTAATGAAACCTAAATCCCAAAGGGCAGCACACTTCTGTAGGCAATGGTCTTATTTAATAAATTTTTCCCTGCTTTCACTTTTAGAGCTATATTTACGCAGACAAATTTAATTCATTGGGCTTACATTTCCTCTTCCCCTTAGTTTGTCCACCAGGCACATATAGAAAGGACTGTAACCAGGTATGTCAGTGTTCAGCCAAGAATGAGGACTGTCACCCAGTCACAGGGAGAGGCACCTGTCTGCCTGGCTACCATGGAAACCACTGTCTTCTCCGTGTGTGTGTTCTGTGCTCAGCTGTAATTTATTGAAGAGGCACTGGTAGGGTGGGTCAGCACTCAGAATACCAAAGGACAAATGTTAATTCAAGCTTCTAATTCATAGCAAATTCTGTAAGAATTTATATTTGAATAGTTGAAAACATACACTTTTTTTGTGTGTAACTCATTCTTCTATTTTGCCTTGTCTATTCAAAATATCCCCAAGTTCTTCACAAATATCCAACATGAAAAGAAAGAGATAAAAAAAGAGAAAGAAAAAAATGAGAAAACATAAACTTATTTTTATAAATCGACATACAACAAACTACTATATATTTTGATTGATTCACAAAGTAAGTTAATTCCATGGTCTGCTTAGGAACAATTAAATTAAATTAAGCACATTGTTATTCTGGAATGAAAATGGTGACTAGCTTAAATGACCAAAGGCCAGTTGGCTCCTTATTGTGTAATAAAAAAGAATAGTCCCTAGACCAAACACCTTACAGTGATTTTTTAAGGATATTTTAACATTGAAAATGGTTATAGAAGAATGCAAAAAAAAAAAAGTCCCAAAGAGCATGTTAAAATGTTCAGCCAGCTACTTTTTTTTAAGCTTGTAATTATTTATAATGTACTTTTTATAGATTTAATTTTTCCCCCAACTTGGCGACTGCTGCTCTCTTTCTTCCCTAGTCATTGCTATAGCAGATTCCTTTTACTTTCCTAAGTCTACAAAGGTATGAATAATTTGGGGATTTTTCTCCTCAAACCAAAAATATAGACTCCTGGTCAAGCTATTGATTTTAGTTTTCTATAAGCCATTGAGTATGTATTTTGAATATTACTTCCCTATTTTTTCCTAATTTTAAACATGACCAGCTAAAAACACAATTAAGCATGTATGAAAATGTGTTCAATTACTGATTGCTTGGGATCTATAACCACTGAAGTTATTCAAACTTAAAATGAAGAACTAAAATATAAAATTAGTCAATTTCTATTAGTTTCTGGTTATGGCAAATTTCAAGCATCCTTGTATTGGAAGAAAGAAAGTTATTTCCTACATTTGATTCAAATGTCTCAGAAAGAATTTCTTCTTTATATCAAGGATGTTTTGTCTTAATAAAATAATATCAAGTTACATGTAACTGAGTTGCACTTTTATTTCAGAAGGCAAGCTACCTTTAGGTGTAGGAGGGTAGCTTTACCTCATAAAAAGTGAGGCTGGCTGAGTCAGGGAACTGCTCCCTGACTAGTCAAATTGGCTTATTTCCATGCAACACGTGGTTGGATGTGACTGCAAGGATTCCTTGGCAACATCCACTATAATTACAGGACTATGAAAAAAGATTCAAGAAAATATCCATAAAAGGTGTAGCTGGCTTAAAAACAAAACTTTCAGCAGCCAAGAACAACTGGGCTTTCATGTTCCTAAGTTCAGAATGGAGAATCAAAATTTCCTCTCAGCAGAGGTCAGAGGAAGCAGACAAACGTACAGTAGAATCTCATCACTTGTTCATAATTCAGAGGCTAGATGGCTCAGTCCTAACTTGTGGATAGCATGTAGGAAAAACAACAATTCCTGTTAGATGTAAACTCATAGTGCTATGTATTTTATGGCCAATAAGAGGTTTTAAAGTGACCACAGACCCTGGAAACCTTTTATTTCTCCAACCTGTATGCAATACGTTCTATTTACAGTCACTTTCTTTAAGGCTATTTAAGGCATTAGAGTCCTCTATAACTATGGTCACTTCTTTTAACAGTATTCATAAGAACACCCCCACACTTGGTATAGAATACTTTGAAAAGCACGGGCCACACAGTAGTCACCAGTGCCAAGAGAAAGATATCAAGACATTCACAGAACTTGAACTTTAATGTTATTGCTCATAGCAATAAAAACTCAGACCAAATGTCAGCATCTCCTTTTAAGAATAAAGCCAAACAGCATAACAATGGCTGGTGTATCTGAGTAACCTGGTCGAATACTGAGAAAACAGACTCTGTGGAAAACAGATGCATGCTTTTCATTTCTTGGTAGCTATGTATGTCAGGATGCAGTCATAGCCTTGTTTAAGTTTTTAATCATAGTACCAAAGGCCATTCACATAATAATATTATACAGTAGCAAAGGGGCTTGGCATTTAACCTTTAATATTTAAACAAATCAAAACTGTAAATGCCCATCCAAGCTTCTTGGAATGAGAATTCAAGAGAAGGGGATGTGCAAGGATGGGAAAAGATAGTCACCTTATAATGGAAAGTAACTAAACACAACTTGGCAGAAATACAAAATTTCCAGGAAGAAAGAATTGTAAAGGATAGAGTAAGGGCCAAGTAAAGATCAAAATGGATTTAGGAAATGAGGGAAGGGACGTGCCAAGTAAAATCCTAGGTGTGCGTTTTCTTGTTTTCTTGTTAAATTTAGCGAACATTTTAGCAAATGCTGTGTGCATGATTCCAGAATTCAAACTTCACATGCCACAGAATTGAATAGGAAAGTGAAATTGTCAATAAAATAATTTACTATTGGAAAACAAACGTCATCAGCACATCTATAAACACATATCATACTCTTGATACAAATTTAATGAGTTTGAGGACTAAGAGGTTAGCACAGATACTGTTTTTCAAAGAGATGGCTCATTTATTAGTACGTTAATTTCACCACATTCAGTTTCCCAATTTCAAAAGTATAATTAAGTTGAAGGCTAAAAATCAGATGATGTTCAAATATATATATATAATATATATATACACACACACATATATATATACACATATAGATATGAAGAAAGAACAACATAGGGTGATTCTATAAAATATAAAACCGTCATTAAGAAAGTTTGGAGAATAGCTTCATATCAGAGGAAAATTATGTTTTCTAAGTAACTGATTCACATGAAAATTATCTCAAAATCTAGACCTTCACCTATATCAGTTATTTAAATTCATCAATTACACAAGCTGTTTTTTCCTTTCAACTGAGATACTGATTCTTTGATACTTGTGATTATATCTAAAGCGTAACATTTTCCTCCATTACAACACAAGTTTCACTCTTCGTTGTGTTGCTCCTTTCCTTACTTGCATAGAAATTCGTGTTATCTTTCCTTTCACAGTAATACCACTGGAGAGTTTTCTATACCAGTCAACTCTTATTAATTTAATCTCCTTTTTTGAAAGCAACAGGCCAGCAGTACACATCAGACCTTAAGGTTTCAATTGCCATATTTTCAGCTTGTTTCATGCATTTTTCTCTAATCTCAAGCAACCAAATGTTCTTTTTCAGCATCACATTTATTTTACTATATTAGTAATTTAATAAAAACTGTAAATACTTATGTTCTCAAAACTGACCCAAATGGATGTGAAAGAAGCATTTTATATCTTGGTGAATGGTAGAAGAGAAGGAGGTGGAGACTTTTTTTAAAAAATCACTAATTTTGTTTTTAGGTACCCTCATTGATTTTGTTTTCAGTACACTCAAATTGTTATAAGTGAGAGAGAAAAAGAACTACTTGGGAGGACTAAAAAAAATGCTGTGCACGAAAAAAGAGGGCAATTAGCTATGAAAACTGACATCCCTTGATGGGAGGAAATGACAGGAGAGAATATGAAATAAACCCATTGTTTTTCACGGAAAGCAGTAAAGAAATACAACAGTTGTACAGATAAATAACCTTTGGTATGAACAGTTTTAAAGTGTTGGTTTCCATCTCCATAATAGAGAATTTCATTTTTAACTGGAATGAGAAAGGAGGAAAGAAGCAGTCACGCTTTGAGTCTAAAAGCAAATCTGAGACTCAAGGTGAGAATTTTGGGTTTGGAGATAGGATATGCGTGTGGATTATAAAATTTTGAATCTCAACAAAAAGCATTCTTTGGCCATTATTTATCTCTTACACAGTATCATCATGGTAGGCCGTACCTCCCTGGATGTGAAAGTAGAAAATTGAAAAACTAACAGAAAATGAAGAGGCATCCTCTATATTTGGTTTCGTTTTCAATTATTACATGTATTAAACCCAGATAATTCCAGACAAGACAAGCTATAGCACTTAAATATGTAAAATAATGAACTTATCTAGGTAGAAATCAGGTAACCTTGTTCAGTGAATTGTCTAAGCACTTTTTAAAAGTAGGTAGATTCCCAAGGAAGCGCAAAGTTAAGTCATACCTTATTAACAGGCAGCATCAAATACTAATAATTATCTGTATCATCTCAGTTATCCTCAGATAGCTCCATGCCTTGAATCAACAGCTTGAAGGTGATTGAAAATACCAGTAGAAATTGGAATGTTGAGTTAACCACATGTCTACTGGTGTGAATTTAAACACTGATTGCTGTAAGTTACAATACCACATATGGTTTTGTTCTCCTTTAACAGGATACCCAAAAGGCACGTATAGTCCATATTGCCAAAAGATGTGTAAGTGCCTGAATCGTGGCATCTGTGACACCATGATTGGCACCTGTATCTGCCCTCCTAGCTTCACTGGGGCCGACTGAAGTCAAAGTAAGTTATTATCGCCTATTATGGAGTGGATATGCTGATCATTCCAAGGCCCAATACTGGTAGCAAAAGTACTAAAGCTGAGAACTGGAGTTTTTAAGAACTGCAATTAAGGAGTAAATGTTGTTGCAATTATTTTACTTCCTAATTTACAGTACTAACAGAAAACACAAACTGATCTAAATTCTAGGTTGAAAAATATTTATGTAGGAGTTTGGTTGACAGCTAAAGTCAGTGAAAGTAACCAAAGAGATCTTTTTGGTGATAACCCCCCTTGCCCCAGCAACGCTAGACTCAAGTCAGTATTAGAAAATACGTTTGCCAAGATCAGAGCAGACTTAAGATTACTGTGTTCACAGTGTCAAACTCATTGTCTAAGGTTTCACAATTTCATTTATGCTCAGCAATTTCCTATCTCAAAAGTAAGTGGTTTCCCTGCTCACCAAAAAGTAAACAGTTTCCTAAAAGCCAAAGACCTTAAATTAACTACTTATCACAAAAACAACTATTGACATGAAGTTTAAGGCACTAGATTGAAGAGCCCTTACAAATGCACAGACTTAGACACTCTGAGGATATGGTTACCAAGTATATTTTGTTTTTTCTTTTTTCAGATCTGCCACTTTAAAAATATTTATATAGTTTTGCTTAACCCAAATAACTCGACCCATAGTCATACACTCTGACTCCTCTGATGCTTCAGGTGAGAGTTACTCAGGATGAAACACTCACATGTGAAGCCACGATTATGATAATTTCTAGGGAGGATAAAAGAGGCAATGAGCAGGAGAGTGCATTGTGGGGAAGTCAGTCCTGGCAACACTGTATTTTTGACATGGGTGTTATGAATGAGGATTTGTGATCGTCCATTGAACTGCACATTCGTGTTTTTGTGCTTTATTCTGTAATCTTATGAATTAAAAAAGTACCTCCAACAGATCTTAAAATAAAGATGGAAGTACTGCCTTAACACACACCTCAACATGAGTGAACTAGATTGTGAAATACCTTCATTTGAGATTCCTTCATTTGGATGAATGATAGCTAAGTTTGTAACTAGACGGTACTACACTGTTATGTGCTAAAGACACCCAAAATGCTTATGTTTCCTGGTTAGTCAGTTGCTTTGTCTGCTTTGTAGGAGGGTAATTTTTCTGTTTAAGTGCCCTGCAGGCCTCAGCGCTCTGCTGTATTGAAAATAAACGACAAGACAAAACCTGGCTCCAGGTAGCAGACAACTGACACCTAGTGGATAGTGCCTCCTGAGGCCTCAATTGGCAAATTATCTTTCAGTTAAAGCCAACCTATAAACATTTCTTAAGCAAGGTTCTGTCTGGTTCGTTTCTATTTGTTCTTGAAAGAGAGTAAGTGGAAGAAATATCCTCCTGCCAAAGCATTTTCAAAGCTGTGATTTCTCTGAACACTAGGGGTACTTTGGTCTTAAGAAAGTTGTGATCTTGTACCTGAGCACTTTCCATTTGCTTTGACAGCTTAGTAGGGTAGAGAGCCAAATATGCAACCCACTTCTTCAATGTTCCAAAAAATATGATATTTATTTTATATTATTACCATATTTTCCCTCTATGTGATTCTCAACAGATATTTATTTTATCTTTGTGTATTTATGTATATTTTGGTAAGCATCTTGAATTTGTGGAATGAAGTCGCAAAAAATAACCAAACAAATTAATAAATATACAAATGAATATTTGAAGATATGAGCATAATGAATCTTATATTTATGTACAGGAACTTTAGCTAAAATTCTAGAATGGGCTTTATATACTGAGGATTATTACCAATATATATTTGGTATATATATTATACGTACATATATTATATAACATAATATATGTACACATAATACTCCTATATGTGTTATATAACATATAGGTACACATAATATACCTACATATATTATATAACATAATATATGTAATATACATATGCATATAGAGAGAGAGAGAGAGACACACACACACACTCTTATACTTGCTAAGACAGAGACACATGGCAAAGAAAAACAATCCAAATTGGGAACAGTTGAGGTCCCTAATTTGTAAGAGACATTCATATCATATGTAAGTTTTTGACACTAGATATTTAGTTGAAAATTCCTAACGCCAACTAAAATGGCTCTATGTAAGCAGCAATTTAAACAGTCCCTTGTTTTGCTTTGTTTATTTCTAAGTAACCTTTCAGATTGAAAATCAAACTAAAAGCAAGTCAGTAAAACCTATTTGATTAAATGAAAATGTCATGTATTTCACAACTTTTAAAAAACCTTGTCTGGCAAAATGTTTAATAAGAAAAATCTGGTTTTGTTTTGCTCTGCTTTATTTTGCTCTTACTTGCAGCTTGTCCTGAAGATCACTGTGGGCAGAACTGTGTTCGATGGTTTCCTGTGGCCCAGGACAAGGTGACCCAGTGACTGGAGTGTGTCAGTGTCCACCTGGCTGAATGGGAACCAGGTGTCAGGAAGGTAACAATGATGGCAGGGTCACCTTCTCTGTCCAAGCATTAATTTAGCTATGCTGCAAAAGTAGATTTGGTGCCGACGAAGATAATTATATGCGCAATACTTACAAGAATTTTTTCTTTTAGTGTGGCTTTCAAATAACATGGAAGTACATGCTCCCGGGCCCGGCCTGGTGACTCACGCCTGAAATCCCAGCACTTTGGGAGGCTGGGGAGGGCGGATCACGAAGTCAGTATATCGAGACCATCCTGGCTAACACGGTGAAACCCCGCCTCTACTAAAAATATAAAAAATTACGGGGCTTAGTGGTGGGCGCCTGTAGTCCAGCTACTCGGTAGGCTGAGGCAGGAGAATGGTGTGAACCCTGGAGGCGGAGCTTGTAGGGAGCCAGGATCGCGCCACTGCACTCCAGCCTGGCGACAGAGCGAGACTCCGTCTCAAAAACAAAAACAAAAATAAAAAAAGAAACAAACAAAAATGCTACCATAGCGCTATATAGAAAATAGTTTACTGGAAGATAAGCACAAATTGGAAACAAAAGCAAAGAATAACTTATGCATGCTCTTGACAGGGAAGAAATTTTCAGACAACATTTGATAACTTTTATAAAACTGCCTAAAATTGTGTGTTGGAGATGTCTAATTATAAGAACTAAATAATTTTATATCCCCTTCAATCAGAAGGTTGAACCTGAAGAGGCCCCCTGAAATCTATAAGAAAAATGGGAGACAAGGAGAAAAACACAATCTTTGTTGAAAACTGCAAAATTTTCTTATCCTAATTGTAGTATTTGTTATTACTGTCATAAGGAGAGGAGCTGTCAAGTTTCAGAAAACAGGGATTTTTCGGGAGAATACTGGGCCCCTACAGATCTTAATTAGGGTCAGCAGAGCGGCCACTTCTCCATGGCACACACAGAGAGCAAAACTAAGGACGCTTTCCTGAAAAATAAGGATTGGGTGAATAGGAGGGCTATTGAAACTTCTCTCAATCCCACTGAACAATCTTAGAGTGGAGGAAAACTGAACAAAACAAAACAAAACAAGAATTACACAGACATACCATGTTTTTAACTCTGCACTAGGACAGAAAGGAATCTGTGGGTAGTTTAGCAGCCTTGCAACTAAAGAAAAGCTCAGCCCACACATCTCTCTCTCTCTCTCTCTCTCTCTCTCACACACACACACACACACACACACACACACACACACACACACACACATATACATCCCACACCTTGTGTTATATGGAGCTGCACTCTGGATGAAGAAGGCTTTCTTCTAGCTGAGATCATTTTTCTAACCCTAACTCAACACTATCCTTCCAGAAATATCTGGTGCATTGAAAAATGAAGCTTGTAGATAAAATTCTTCTCTCATTTTACAAACAAAAACTGAAACTGTTCAAAGTTTCCCTTGCTTTTTTAGTGCAAATTCTGTAAGAAGGAAAAAGGAGTAAAGGAATATGAAAAAGAAAAGGCAGATGAAACAAGAGCAGAAAAGTTTTGCTATGGAGCACATGAAGATATTAACCAGAATCTCTTCCAAGAATTCAAAGGATGTAATGAAAAAGTGTTCTCTATAAAATGTGAGTGCAATGCAGAGATACAAGGGTTCATGCAATAAATGAAAAGACAACAAAAGGAAATGAAAAAGTAAGCTGGCAGAGCCCAAAAAAGAAGTGGAAATGAAAATTAAACCTCACATCATATAAATGAAGGCCACATTGGGAGCAGGTAAAGGAAGGACAGAATCTGCTGATAGTACAGCCAGGTTAAAAAAAAAATGAGGAAAGTAAAAATAATGAAATGGAAAAGAAATGAGAGAGAAATGTATAATTGGAAGAGGAAAATGTTCAGATATAATGTTCAAGATTTTTCCTTTGAAATAAAAGATCTGATGTTACATATTGAATGAATATATTTTATCTCAGGAAATAATAGTTACAGTGGCTCAAAGGCAAGGGGAAACTCCATTGAAGATATAAGGAAAAATAGGAGCTTACTTAAGAATGAGAAAAATCAGTCTGACTTTTTACCTTATAGCAGTATTCATTGCCAACATATGGCTAATCAATGCCTATTAAGTTCATGAGGAAAAAATGTGACATGTATTTTATACACTATTAGCTGTTATTCAAATATAATATGGTGGCAAATTAACCACTTTTTTAAAAGTTGCCGGAAATATAGTAGCCTTAAAATACTTTAAAGAAACAATTGCAAGATAAATTTAAGCAGCCAAATAATAAATGGGAAATATCTGATAAAAAGACTATTAGTAAACATTACATTCATCTTAGTTAAGGCTAAGTTTAAAACAGTTGTGGGAATTATGCCTCCATGACAGAAGATAAATATTGTAAATTATAACAATTGTAGAGATTTTAACATAGTGCTAACAAGGCATAAACTGGAAAGACAGAGAAAGCAAAGGAGTATAGGTATACTGGTCTTATTTCCTCATTAAAGGTTGTGGGGTACATGGGAGAGATCTGTGTCAAAATATATTATTTAAATATAATAATACAGTAAATGTGTTTAAGTGTGTAAAGGTACATTTTAGAATTTAGAATACTTCAACTGAGATGTTAAGAATAAAAATACATCCAACTAAAAGCAGATGGAGGAGCGAAATGAAAACAAAATAAGAGAAAGCAGAATAGTATTAACTTCATTACCATTTATATAAATAAATTTAACTATATTATATAATATCTGCACTCTCTAAACAAGGTTCCCTAAATTATGTAAGAGTATATTTATAAGGCTCATGTAGGGAACAATGGAGTACACATACCTTTTCCTATTGCTACCTTTCAACATAGTAAACATTCCACGTAATGTAGAAAACAAACATAAGTCTCTGAAATATGAAGAAAAGAAAGCAAATTGGATAAGAACCTTAGAAATCTAGGAAGCAACATGATGGTGAGTTCCCTGGTTTCATTTTGTTTTGTTTTGTTTTGTTTTGTGTTATTTTGTTTTTGTTTTGTTTTGTTTTTTTGTCTCATATATCCCAGATTAAGTGCTGGAGAAACCTACAACCCAGGTAGGCCAATGGGTGCACACAAAGGTCTAAGATACAATTGATTTCTCTAGTCAAAGGACAGGAAATGGGATGGTCTAGCAATACAGAAAACTTTTAGAAAATAACTGGTCTTCTTCAGGCAAGCACTACGAAATGAAGCTGTGTCCTCAATCCCAATCCCATGAGCAAGGGCCAAATGAGGAGTGTACACTTCAAATCCCATCCTGATATGAGAAGGTACCCCTCTCTACCCCGCACACCAGGACTATGTAAGAGAAGGCATCGTGGGGAGTTTGGACTTTCGTCCCTACCAGTTAGTAACAAGCCTCTACCTATGCAGTTAGTCCAAGGAGACCATGTGATGTGAAGAGTGTGGACTTTCACCTCCACCAGACAGCAGAGAGACATTGTTCCTCCCTTTTGGTGGTATCAGAGGAGGTCTAGTAGAGTCAGGACTCCCACAACCACCAAGTGGTAATGAATGTAGTGTCAGTGGAGATCAGGTGGGAGCCATAGGATGCACCTCTAACCCTATCAGTGACATTGGTATAGCAGAGGCATAGTGAGGAGCTGAATTCCCATCCTGCCCAGCAGGATGGGGCCCCATTTATCCAACCTCCTACTTGGTGGCCATGTAGGGAACTTGAACCTCTACCTGGTGAACCCCTATTCTCACCAGTGTAATATAGAAGGAGGAGGCTTGCTAAAATGGAAAATTTAAATGAGATCCATGTTCTGGTATCATAATATTCAAAATTTCCAAGTTTCAATATTTTAAAATTCATCAACCAACAACTTGGAGAATTTCAACTTACGGAAGAGAAGACAATCAACAGATGCCAACACAGAGAGGACACTAATGTTAAATTTATCTGACAAGAATTTTAAAGCATTTGTCATAAAAATGCCTCAATGAGCAACTACAGATATAATTAAAACAAATAAAAAGTTAAAAGGCTCAGCAAAGGATAAAAGGCATTCAGAAGAACCAAATGGAAATTTTAGACCTGGAAAATAAAATTACCAAAAGAAAAAGCTCAATGGATGAGTTCAACAGTAGAATGGAGTGGACAGAGGAACAAACCAATGAACTTGAAGGAATGATGGAAATTACCCAACCTGAACAACAAAGAGAGAAAAAAAATAGCAACCAACAAACACACACACACAGCCTCAGAGACCTGTAGTACTATAAGAAAATATCTACCATTATGTCATCTGAGTCCCAGAAGAGGAAAAAGAGGGTGGAGATGAAAAAATATTTAAAGGAATAATGGCTGAGAATTTTCTGAATGTGACAAGAAACATAAACCTACAGGTTGAAGAAGCTGTGTTAATGCCAAACAAGATAAACTCAAAGAAATTTACAAAAGTCATATCAACATCAAACTTCTGAAAATTAAATATACATTAATTTAACTAATATATATAAATATATGTTAAATAATATATCAAATCAATTGGTATATTAAAGATAATCTATATTTTAATTCAATTAATGAATAAACTATATTAATTTTAATATAATGAATAATTTATATATTATATATATCAAATACATTAATATATATTTCATTTTCAGAAGCTTGATGTTGATATTTCTTTTACAGATAGGTGTTGAGAAAGAAACAACAACACCTCAGCTATAGAAGAAATACAAATAGAATGACAGCAGATGTCTCATCAAAAGTCATGGAAGGGATGCAACATATCTGAAGTGCTGGAAAAAAAAACCAAACAAACCATCAAACCAGAATCACATATCCAGCAAAAAAATCCTTCAAGAATTGAAAGGAGATTTTTAAAAAATTCTCAGAAGAAGGAAAACAGAGAATTTATTGCTAGCAGACTTAACCTAAAGGAATGGCTAAAGGAACTTCTGGAAACCAAAAGAAAATGACCAAGAAACAATATTGGAACATCAGGAAAATTAGAATGCATAAAGGAAAGAGTAAAAATATAGCAGCACAAACTTTTTCTTTTCTGCTTGAGTTTTCTAGATTATACTTGGCAGATGAAGCAAAAACTATGACACTGATATAGTTCTCAATGTATATAGAAAAAATGTTTGATAATTTATTATAAATGAGGAGAGTAAAGGGACAGAAAGGAGATTAGGTTGCCACACATCATTCAAGCTGGTAAAATATTGACTCTGTAGACTGTAAGTCAGGTGTGTATAACCTGATACCTAAAGA